ATATCCCAGCTATACGACGGCGGTCTATAATTAGTCGAGTGTAGACAACACGATCCAGTGATTCACACCATGAGCATCGATCCATGCAAATTGGGTACGATGACATGCATCAACCAAGTCAGCAAACCTGACCTTCCCATCCCGTTAGTCGCCTGTTACGACTGGGTAACGAATCCCGGTTCGCAACAATTATGTTTCTAGGTTTGTCAGCACCGTACCCGTGCTCGTGGGTTTCACCTGCATCACTTCGGGCTTTCCTCCCACATTAAGCTGACATGCCGTGATACAACTGGAATAATGTTAAAAGCGGCGTTAAACCCAACTCACCCACTGTTCCCTCACTCAAAGACGTCGTGTTCCTCTTCTGTATAAACTGTTGGTTTTATATCATTAAAGGCAGGCCGGTATCTTCTGCCTATTTTTCCAGGAAATCAAATATAGTACAAACTAATCGATGTCGCTCAACCATCTTGAGGACGCACGGGAATACACTCATTCAAAATAGACAGATCCAGTCGACATTCTCTCGCTTGGTATATTAAAAATCGTGATGTTAATTTTAAACTTACTCTGCAAAGCTGTGTGAACCGCTGGCCACAACATCAGTGACGTCTTAGAGACGTGGTGACAGACTCACGGAGCCTCCTTGTCCTCCGGGAACATGCTGCTACGGCATTGCGTCTAGCGATGCGATTGACTGTGGCAAGCAGACGACGATTAGATAAATGCATAGAATATTTACACATTCTTTCTTTGAATCCAAGAAGCTATGTGCAATAGAAAACTTGCATAATTGATGTCAGTGGAAAAAAGTTCACGACTATTTTTATATGTACAATTCCAGCAGAGAAAATTATCTCGAGTCCATATGAAGTATGAAATATAAAATCACATGATCAGCGTTTAAGCCTCGTGTTATTTTAAGTGAACACTGCTGTGAGTAGACGTTAATTCTTTCTTCAGTATCGAAGAAAACTTGTTTGATGTTTTTTATTTTCTGTTGTTTGAAGTGTTGTAAAACTTAGCAACAAGGATATATATTTCATAAGATATTCATTACTTTAGTTTGGGGCGTTATTTGAGCGTCACGTCTTTCCTTAATCGTAGCGGAGATGGATATTAATAATTCTGCGCTCATTTCTACCTCTCGTTTACTGTGAATGATATATGATAGGCAACAGGTACAATGTATTTATATATAATGTTTAATTAAGTTTGGCCTTTACGTGATATAAAAGCAGATAAATAACTCAATTCCATATTTTCACTTAAATAGAAAAGAAACCCCATTGATCCAGCATGGAACATCTACATTAATAGATATTACTGACGGGATGGTGGCTAATTGTCTCATACGCGGCAATTTTCTGTGCAGAGTTGCGTCCCTAACGGCGGACCAGAATCTTAAGATCGTTCAAATCCCAAATGTTTCTTGGTTTGTCAGCACCATACTATGAACGTGAGTGTCACCAAAGTGGTAAACGTCCAAGACATGAAGCGTTCGGGCTTCCCTCCCATATCTGGCTGAATCGCCGTGGTAAAAATAATATACTTTTTCAAGCAGCATTAAACCCTGTTCACTCACTCACCGTTACTTATCTCTTTGTTCGAACGATTTCACTTGGGTCGGATGAAATAGGTTTAACTGTATACAACATGACGTTGTTCTCAAGTGACAAATCATATGATTCCAGTTGCAATTCCACATTGCCTTAGGAAGAATAGATTTAATGAGAGACTGAAATAAATACCTAGATAGTCAGTGTTTAATTCGACAAGTTCTCCTTTGACGACCGGACTGGATCTCAAGATCTATGATATACGAGACGATCGTTTTTGATAATAATACGATCACCTTCTATGTAACATGACATTTTCTACAGTAGGAAGATGAAGTGCCTCTGAACAGCCTACTAATTGATTAAGATTGATATAGTTACTCAGCCTCTTTGCCCGAAGGTCTAACAATGTACCCTTAGGATTACATCCGATCATTTCATTTCAAGACTTTCAGAGATGGGGTATTCTTTATAGAAACAGCTATTGATTTCATTGAATGTCATTCTGAAGAAGTCACAACAAGACCTTCCTAACGGATTCATGGCAATACCGTCCTGAAGCATTCATAGCAAGACTGTCTTGAAGAATTCGTAGAACGACTGTCTTGGAGCATTCATAACAAGAACCAATTTGTTACGAATTCTCCAGAAACTATTTTTTCATTATATTTTCGTTGATACTGTTTTGAGAATAAATGCATACATCAATACTAATAAGTAATATCGATGTCCCCATCTCGTATTTTGCACTGATAAGAATGTTCTTTCGATCAAATGCAATTTTGATATGGTCTCGTTTTTTTATGTAAAGTTTTAAACTTTTATCCGAATCAAGCTATAGTCAACTTTTTTATATACCAGGGGGTGGTGTATAGGGTTGGGGGTATGGGGGGTATGGGGGGTGGGGTAGGGGGAGGGAGAGAGCTGGAAACTGGGATTTATTTTATTTAAAAAATCACAGAAAATTCTTTCAAATAAAAATTGATAAGCTTCAGACTGGAAAAGAAAATTGTCTTCAACAAAAATTACATTAATTTAAATTTAAAATATCTGGTTGAAAAAATGTCTACTCTCTTTGCAAAATCCCCAACACCCAACACCCAACACCCAACACCCGAATATCATTGATCGGTAATTCAGTGAACATATTATCTTCATTTTAAAGCATTGATCATGATTTTAGTGCGTACGACTACACGTGGTCATCATTTCGATGTGCAGAGTTGCGCCCCTTAGACGTACCTCAATCCGATGGTCCTTGGTTCATGTCCAAACTCACCCTTCCCGCTAGATATTGCACCACGGTCACTGAATGTGATATGTTGCATGTTGGGCGTGTTTATCTGCAACATACTGAGTCGATGTATTCTTTTGAGGGTCAATGGACACCTCGCGGTCACATTGTCCATGCACGATGCCTTCTACAGAATATTCGAAGAGGGCGTCTCTATTGAACGTCAATGCGGAAGGCAGACGTAGTGTTTGTAACCTATTAAAGGAACCTGGTCACCAGGCTTTTTTGTTTGGTCTTCATATCAGACAAGAATCTAATCAAAGATACAGCTTCCGTTAAAACCTTAGCAATCCGGACCGTTATATATAAGATTTTAAAACCGGATGTTTCACCGAACAAGACCAACCACTGATTGTTCCTATGGCATGTATACATGTCGCTGTCGCATCGCAGGTGTACAGCTGTACGGTGAGTGAGTTGGGTTTAACGCCGCTTTTAACAGTATTCCAGTCATATCACGGCGTGTCAGCTTCATGTGGGAGGAAAGCCCAAAGTGATGCAGGTCTCAGACGTTTACCACTTCGGTGAAACCCACGAGCACGGGTATGGTGCTGACAAACCTAGAAACATAATCGGGGCGAACCGGGATTCGAACCCACAATCATAGGTTTCTGGCGTGCCTAAGGGACGCCACTCTGCACAGCGAATCGCGGCTCCTTAGACGACTGGGCCACCCGTGCCCCCTACGGCTGTGTGGTGTCAGACAACAAACAGATCCCTGCGGGTGATACCAATAGCACAGGACATGCTTACCCTTTTCGAGAACACCGATTTTCAGTTATCCATTCATATAACTTGCACGCTGTTTTGCCTTTTACGGCCAATGACAACTGTTTTGTCGGATAATCGAGTCTGGATAATCTCTGGCGTTGATGTTATATATGTACATGACCCGTACGACGGAAAGACACAGTTTTGAACTTTTCAAGGCCTAATATCAATAAACTGTAATGCCTGTTATATAAATGTTGAGCTTTTCGCCACACACTTACCAGGTAACGATTGCAAAATGTAATCGCGCTTGTACAGTTGATTAATTTTGTTTGCACGACGGATTATTTCTGTGGTTAGCTTACCATACTGATTTCAAATGTATCGTATATGTGGCGCAATATTCTCTATAGTAGTTTTTAGCCAAATACCAAAGCTTCTTTTACCTTCAGCGTGAAAATAGATATCATTTTTATTCCTTTTTAATAGCCCTGTTTTGTTTGATTTCTGAAAATGCCAAATGAATTCATATTTCATCATTAACGCCCCCGAAGTTATGTAGGTCGAACGTGGTTGTACATGAAGTTCAAGGTGTTTATTATTACGGCAATTTCTAGTGGCTGTTGTTATATAGTAGGAGCACGGGTGACTCACTAGGCAGGGCCACTCAGAAACGATGTGGGAAGTTTCGTCAATATGCTAGCAGAAACAGTTTCTTCTTGTTATATTTGGTTTGTTTACACTGTAAACATGTGTTAAGATTTTTAACACAAACCAAGCGCGTTCCGTGTTCCATACTTTTCTAAAGCACGGTTAGAATAGTGTTTAACAGTAAGGTATTTATGGTCTAAATGTGGGAAACACCCGTAAAAATACATGGTGACGTGACCCGTGAAGATCCGGGGTAGAATAGGTCTTCAGCAACCCATGCTTGCCGTAAAAGGCGACTATGCTTGTCGTAAAAGGCGACTAACGGGATCGGGTGGTCAGGCTCGCTGACTTGGTTGATGCATGTCATCGATCCCAATTGGGTGGATCGATGCTCGTGATGTCAATCACTGGATTGTCTACAGACCGCCGTCATATAGCTGGAATATTGCTGTGCGGCGTTAAACAACAAACAAACCAAACCAAACCAAACATAGTGACATGGTTTAACATTGCTTTGAATAGTATTTCATTTATATCGCGGCGTGCTAGCTAAATGTGGGACGAAAGCCCAAAGTGATGCAGGTCTGACGTTTACCACTTTTGTGAGAAAGGTATCGTGCTGAGTAACCTAAAAATATAATCAAACCGAACCGGGATTCGAACCCACGTTTTTAGTCTGAGGGACTCACAGCGAGAAACGGTGCCTCAGACGACTTGACCACCCTGCCCTTTGTTTATTAAGACTTACTGTATTTTTTCTTAAAGACCTATATTGGCTGTTTCAGGTACTGAGCAATGGCGGTACAATCAAACAACCCACGGGCCCTTCCTGAATGACAGCATCATTACAGTGACGTACGGAGACGGCCATTGGAGCCTGCCGTACTTCGACTGTGGCGGCGGCGACATATGGATGATGACGTACACTGTGCCTTTCTTTGGATACAGAAATGGAAGTTTTCATTTCAAGTGAGTAGCTATTTGTGGTATATATTGGCAATTATCTTATTGACATTTAAATGCGGCGTCAGACAACAAACCGTTACTCTTTTATGCAGATTGCGTGAGTGGCGGGTGCTATCGGTAGAGCAGGACGTCGACGTTCTCACCCTTTTCGCGAACACCTGTGTCATCACTGATTTTCAACGATCCATTCATATAATTTTCACAGTTATTTTGCTTTATGCCAAATGAATCTGTATAATATATGAATATTATAACCGAGACTTTTTAGTCTATGGCATTGGCGTTCTATATATATCTTATATATAAAGAACTTGAATTTCAATGATGTTTTCGTGACTTTCTTGTACCCCACTACAGCGATTTACAACTGGAAAAATATACTGTGATTCTTCGCAAAAGACATTTTTGTGACCTGTCCGTTCTATTCAGATCCTGCATTTCAAGCTCCTTACGGCGAAACAGCGTCGCATAAACATTGACTTAAGATGTATGTGATTCAGTCGAGCCTAAACACAAACAAATTATCGTCTGGCAATATTCGCTTCCTTGTTTGTTGTCGAATTTTGTAAAATGCTAACATGGCGGTAAGATAGATTTGTTGCAGGTTTGTTTCTCCCTCGGGGAATACGTTTATATATACCATCCATGTGGCCGTGTACTCCATCATGAGGCCTCAAAAAGGTATTTCATGTTACTGGTCCCCGTCCGCGTCATTTTCAACCCTGCCGTACTGTTTTCCGGATTTTAATCCATGGGCGGGTAACTCTAACCTGGTTTTCCCCCATTCGTCACCACTCGCCCCTTCCGTAACCTGCAAGCTTGTCCCGGAATAACACGAGTTGGTCACGAATGGTTTTCCCCGACAACGAACAAACTGCACATATCGCGCGAGGCATCTTGTGTCTGTGCACGTTGTGTGTGTTGAGGTGAGTGGGAGGTTATGTCTCAAATGTTTTTTAGGCATTACTCAACTTCAATGAATCGCTGCGAAAAAGGCATTTTAATACCGGACACAACTACGTTTAGTCTAAGGCGCCGCGATTCGCTGTGCAGAGTTGCGTCCCTTGGACACGCCAGAAACCTATGATTGAGAGTTCGAATCCTGGTTCGCCCCAATTATGTTTCTAGGTTTGTCAGCACCAGACCCGTGCTCGTGGGTTTCACCGAAGTGGTAAACGTCTAAGACCTGCATCACTTCGGGCTTTCCTCCCACATTAAGCTGACACACCGTGATATAACTGGAATACTGTTAAAAACGGCGTTAAACCCAACTCACTCACTCACTCACTCACAACTACGTTTACTTCCAGAATACAACGATCAAACCAATGTATCATTGTTGGTTTATTCATCCAAATGTGCTTGTTCAAAATAAGAAGCAGTGTTATTTTGGGCCAAACAAATACACCAGAAATGATACATTTTGGCTTAACCTTGTACACATGCAGGTTGATAAGGTAGTCTAGTGGTTAATGCTTTCACGTTTCTTGGGGGTCACGGGTGGCCCAGTCGTCTAAGGCGCCGCGATTCGCTGTGCAGAATTGCGTTCCTTGGGCACGCCAGAAACCTATGATTGTGGGTTCGAATCCAGGTTCGCCCCGATTATGTTTTTAGGTTTGTCAGCACCATACCCATGCTCGTGGGTTTCACCGAAGTGGTAAACGTCTGAGACCTGCATCACTTGGGGCTTTCCCCCCACATTAAGCTGACACGCCGCGATATAACTGGAATAGTGTTAAAAGCGGCGTTAAACCCAACTCACTCACTCACTCCTTGGCCCCGTATCACAGGGCAGTCTCAGCTGTAGTTAAAATTGTGATCATTTCATAACACCGTGCGCTGTATCGCTGCGACATTGCAATATACGCTGAATGGATGTCGGTGCTCAAAGTCATTTGGTGTACGGTGAAACATCGTTATAGCCTGAGACCCGTGAAGATCCGGGGTAGAAAAGTTCTTTAGCAACCCATGCTTGTCGCAGAAGGAGGTCAACGCGATCGGGAAGTCAGACTCGATTATTTACAGACCGCCGTCATATAGCTGGAATATTGCGCTCAACAACAAACCAACACCGTTATTCCAGACTCAGTCAGACGGAAAGAACGAGTTTGCCGCTCTCAACATCTGGGTCCACATGCACAAAGCGATCTTAGCGCTAAGATGATTGTAACTCCCATACTTTAACATAGGCTTACAGTAGTCGTTGCGCTAAGATTGCTTTGTGCAAGTGGGCCCAGATGTTGAGAGCGGCAAACTCGTTCTGTATTTTCTATTTTAACCCGGATGTATCGAACTGGATGTTTTGTATTCCTGGTTGTCTTGAAATCAATGTACAATCCGAGGAGTTACAAGTTATAGTCCCAATTAAGTTATAACTTACCCTTCTGCCGTCTGAATTAGATGAGTATTTATCTGGTCCTCGGCCTTCAAAAAAGGGTTTGACTGTATACACAAAGATACCTTACTGCGTCCATCTGATCCGCTTATCCGGCAAGGTACTACTATTATGGACAATTTCACATCTGTCTACATGAACGGGATTTACGCATGTCTAGTCAACCCAGGTCGAACAATGAAAAAGGAAAAAGCATATTCCGTTCACTTCTCAAGCTATTAATCTTAACCAATGGTAGGCCGCCTTGGTGGCCGAGTGGATATAGCGTCTGCCCGGAGACCGGAAGGTCGGTGGTTGAATCCCCGCGTCATACCAGCGTTTAGACCTTCATTAATCCAACATATTGAAGTCAATGATTAAGTAAACGACATGATGCCATCCAAGTTAATGCGTACTCCGAGGTATACCCTAAACCCGTAGCATACTGCAAACAAAGCCATCACGCCCGTCTTGACGTCGCCAATGCTATTTGAAGAGTGCCTTAAGATCTAGCAGTATTCTCATGGGACGTAAAATTGGTGTTTTTTGCTTCATGTGGGTATAATTGAAATGTCAAATGTAGTCTCTTGTCCGCTGTGTAAGATAACTGTCTTTATATATATCTGCATGCAGCCATCAAAGTGCCATCACTTCAGATACTCGAGATAGATATGTTTGGACATGTTTTCCGCTCGTTCAAACGTATGACGTAAGACAACTGCCAAATTTTAAAAAATTCAAACATTTTGTTATGAAAGTGTTCGGCTATGTTCATACAACTGACAGCTGGCCTTTGTTCTTTTACTTGCAAGTTTTGAATTTCTGATATGAACCATAAGAAATGTTTGGCCAAAATAGAGAAGTTTGTCGAACTTCTTGGGAACATCTTTTGGGTAGACAAGATGAATACACCTGTACTTTTTCCCTACACCCAGGAAGATAACTGGCTCTCTTAATTCCTAATTTTCAAATATTTGAAAACCTGAAGAACTAAAAACCTCTAAAATCAACACTTTAGATACATCCATCAATTGTCTACAACTGGACTTTTAGGTCCAAACAAGCAATAGTTGGAAAATTAGAGTTGAATTCTCATTCCTACAAACACATCTGACGATTTTCATAACGATTTTGTCGAATCCTGGTTCGCCTGGATAAGTTTCTTTGTTTGTGAGCACCATACCCTTGTTCTGGGTTCCAGCGAAGGGTAAATACATTTCGGGCCTTCCTCCCACATCAAGCTGACAGGCAGTGATATAACAGCAATACCGTCCAATTGGGCGTTCAACCAGCTCTCTCATTAACTCACTCTGAGACCCGCATCACTTCCGGCTACCCTCCCACATTAAGCTGACACGCCATGATATAACTGGAGTAAAGGTTCCAAGCGGCGTAACAGCATAAGAACCACTCACTCCTTCACTCCTGTGGGGGGTTGGGGTGAGGGAAGGGGGGTCCATACATCGTATATTTGTAGTTCCGATAGTGATGATGTACGCCTCTTTGGGCAGCAATTTCACCACAAATGGACACTGAAATTGCATTCCCATTTTACTCCAAATCTAGTTCTTTTACTGTCGTTTATCGAGAGGCTTTATAGTTTAATTTTGTGTATCATTAATATAAAACTTGATTTAGTCACGATATGGCTGAAATATTGCTGATGTGACTATAAACCTTAATTCACTCACTCCAAAGTAGAAATAGTTGGATATGAACTCTTTTCATATTTTTTAGAACAATCAACAAGCTATAGATGATAATTTTGAACTATTTCTTAGAGAGGAATTGGAGAATGATGACATGCGTGATATTTATGTTGATGAGTTTAACAGGATTATCACAGAGGAAGAGATAATCTCAGCGATTAAAAAAATTAAGAATCCAAAAGCTCCTGGACGTGATAGTTAGTTATTGAGGTGATTAAACACTTTTTGACATACATCCTACCTGATCTAATAGTTATATTTAATAAAGTGTTGAAAGATGGACGGTTTCCACAGAAATAAAATGATGGCATTGTTCAACTGTTGCACAAAGGAGGTGACGAGGCACAACCAAATACCAGTAACTGGAGAGGTATCTGTTTACAAGGATGTTTATTAAATGAATCACAGAGTGGGCATGATGCATTGTAAGTTTTATAAGGAGCAGGCTGGCTGTGGAGCAGGATACTCATGATAGCTAACATTTTCATACTGCAACCAGTGATTCAGGAATACGAAGCGAGGAGGAAGGATGCTTGTAATATTTATCCTAGCGATCGGTCTAGTATAAGCAGCCACACACACACACACACACACACACACACACACACACACATGTATTCCCTCTCTACTGTTAGGGACGGGGTGACGACCATTTGGTTCCTTCAGTTTAATTTTCTTGGAGGAGGATGGGATGAGTTTCGGAATAAGCTTAAAAATAATAAGTTTTGCTTCGATCCCTCATCAGACATGCTGAAGTTTCTTTAAAAATAAAGTGTTTTGTGGAAAAAAACATTTATGTTTCTTTGGTAGAGGTGTCAGCACCATCCATGACGTTCAGTTAAGTTCAGAGTGATAAGTTGTAAACCAGACTCGCTCGCTCCCTCCGTCCATCCCTCAGAGTGAGTGAGTGAGTATAGTTT